ATGGATGTCGAGCACCGGGCCGCAGACAGCCGAGGCCATGGCTGAACACTCTATGTGCCACCCTGGCCGTCCTCGGCCCCACGGCGACTCCCACCATGGCTCCCCCGGCTTGGACTTCTTCCATAGAGCAAAGTCTGTGGGTGACCGCTTCTCTGCATCTCCAGGCCCTAGGTCTCCTACACGTGGACAAGTTTCAACTTGTAGTGTTGTAATACATTGAAAGCCCTATTTTTACGGGTATTTTGTAGGGATGTGTGAGTGATCGAGTATTTTTGAGCAAATATTTCATTACTCGGCTCAAATTGAGCTTTTTATTAAGTTTTCAAAAATATTTATAGCTGTTTAATATAGCAGAACCAAAGCACAATCTTTAATGCAGCAAAACTCTCACAGACGTTGCCTTATTGACTCCGAAAAGTATAGTTAATGTGTAAAGTTAAAAGGTATAAGTTAAGCACAACTCCCAGCTACCTCCTAACTACTTGTCATGCTTCAAACTTTTAAAAAAAACTTTAAACATAATCAATATCAATCAACTTTTAACATAACAACGTTAAAGGATATCTAGTGGTTTAGAGAATTTGTTAATTCTGTAAGTAAAATATTGAAACATTAAAGACAAGTTAAAAACTTTAGATAAATTGATAAATTATTCAATTTTGTTGGTTTACAGGGACATCTGAGACCTGACTAAAATATCAAGGCCTTTCACAGGGATCAGGGATCTTTGAGAGATGTAAATATCATGAATATTCATCAAAGGCCAAGAAAAACTTTCAATGTCAAATCTTTGTAATACATGATTATTGTTTAACTACTCTACAATAATACTAATAATCATCAAGGATTCTAGGTTAGATTGACCAATTTTTTTCCTTTCAATATTTTACATACACAAAAATTAAATTCCTTATTAAAAAAGATTTTTAGTGGACACACACACAAAATAAGAAATCATTAAGATATTGCCTGATCTAAAGTGCAATTCCCAATTTACTGTATCCTCCCATCGCATCGATATCCTCTGTTCACTATGCATTTCAGGTGGCCTTAATCACTAGCACTCATACAGATAGGTGAACTCCACCTGAGTTACAAAAACCAAGAACTGAGGATCCAAACTCCTGGCAAGGCTTTATACAGTTTAGTCGTCAATATAACTTAACACAATTTTTACCAGGCTAAGTTGCAGTTTGACATGTTAGACAGTTTTTTTCTATGCTACTTTTGACGTCCAATACACTGAACATTAATGTTTAAATAATTAATTATGACATTTCAACAATTTAAAATAAATAGCTGATTGTTGATTACTGTACGATATGAACTGACGCGACGTGACGAAGGAAAAATCAAACTTACACTGTAACGGATATACCTCCCTTTGAAGTTAGAACGTGTCTTCCCAACAGACAGATTTTTTTGTTCAAATAAAATCATAGATTAATCTGCATTACACTGATGAAATCACGGAAGTGTTTAACCACAAAAGATCCACCAATACGATTTTAATACTATTTAAAGGTTCTTCCAAAGGAAGAGATACCAGATAGCATACTAACAACTACGATGACGTAGCCTACAGTATGGGAAATATTTTATATTTTGTTCATTGAATGATCAACCATATTTGGTAACTAACGAAATTAATATCATTATTGTTTTTACACTTATCAATGCTAAATGCTCAAAATATGTATTATTTCACTCAATTTATCGCAGTTAGATGAATTAGCGTAAGCCTCGAAAGTAACCGTCGATTTCGACGGGTTTCATCTAGTTTAAAATAAATAGCTGATTGTTGATTACTGTTACTACCAGGAATTATACAATATTACCAACCTTCCCCAGACTGAAGAGATTCCTGGTCTCCGTAAGCCTCTGGGACAAGTTTGGCGTAGAAGTGGTTGGATCTGGCATCAAATGTCTTCACGTCAAAGTAGACAGAACCGTTGGACTCGTACGCCAGTCCATTCTCTATTATCTTCTCAATATATGAAACTATTTCTGGCACATATTCACTTACTCGAGTGAGTACATTGGGTCTCATAACCTTAAACAGAGAGTTATTGTAAAGTGGACTTGTCAACCATTTGTATTTAGCAGCAAATAACAGCAATTAATACTACAAATAGCAGAAAAATTTGAGTCGAGACTCGACACTTGAAATGCATGCGTTGCTTCTTTTTTCTCTCTGGTTTTTAAATCGTAGGCCTACTGTAAATAGTTTATTCGTGATAAAATGTTTTGTGACTGTGTTTTTAAAACTGTGATGTGACATCATGAGTCGAAAAACTTCAAGTTTTGTAAATAAGGATCTGATGATGGTATAACAATATACCAAAACACGTAATCCTGTTGGATGTTCGAGGACCACTATAGGCAGTCTGCAGGTATTGTAACCTTCTTATTTTGATTTGCATGAAGTGGCCTAGAAAATCAACTACAACATGCAAATAACATGTTCACTGCTGACTCTCCGATTGGAGTGGAGTCATGCTGTACTGGCACAGAATGCGTACGGCTCTGGTCGGAATCACAGTGCAGTGTTATACAAGTACTGGCAGGCCATTTTTGTCTATATGTATGTGGGATACTTTAGAGCTGTATAAATTGTGTTCTACAATACAAAAGTATATTTTCTTTTTCAGGACATTACTAGGAACAAATTAAAACAATTGACAGATCCCAAACAAATGTTGTAGAACTGTTTACTTGTAAGAACAAAAAAAAAGAAAAGAAAATAGGCCTGTAACATTTTTCCAAAGTAGAGGCTTGGGAAAAATACAAAAGATTTTTTGAATAAAAAATCAGAGATATATACAAAACAGTATTGTATAGAAAATGGTTTTTTACGAGAAAAAAGTCATAGGTATACATTAATATTTGTTTAAAAAAAGGTAAGAAAGGAGTAGGCCTATGTTGTGTCACACCGCGCTAAACACGCAGTAGCGTCATTTGACGTTTTTATTCTCAACTCATAAAATATTGTTACATCACGGAAACTAAACAAACTATATATCAAAATAAACGAATCTCCTGTGTAAAATGGTAAAAAGCAATATCTAAGACAGTGATGTTTTCTGTTGAAACTTAAAAGTTAAAGAAAATTGATGCTCAAACAACTAGTGACTAGTCATTGCCAGTGGAGGAACTAGTTTTAGCGACTAGTCAATAGTCATTTGCCATATGCAGGGTTAATTTAAGCTACCTACATTTATTATGTTTTATGTTACATCAAGAATCTCATTAACCAAATTGGGGTGAAAATAGAACTTTATAAAGTCATACACGCTGTTAATGGCTCATTCAACTACCTACATCCTTTATTAATTTAACAAAATTGCTACTGCTGGTCTATATCCATGAGATGTCGACTTTAGCATGCAAAAGTCAATGATCCTACATAAATGCTAAATAGCCTACAATATTTAGACTGACAGGTAGGTCTACATTCGATGTAATGTAAGGAAGACTCACATTAAGTGCATCCATGTCCTTGTGGTATTCAGCCTCCCAATGGCGAGGTAGACTGACGAAGATGTCATTGTCTGTAATTGTGTGTCCGAACTGCTTGTCCAGCCAATCAGACACAGGGTCTCGACTAGCCTCCATTAAAACCTATAATATACATTACGGGTTAAATCAAATTAAAATAAACCACAAACTAATCACTATGACTTAAAACTAGAGAAAAACATCAAACATAAACTTCAATTTGTGAGATGATCAACGCATAAGGTTATGAAAAAATTGCTTCACAGATAAAGATGTCTAAGCTCCCAAAAAATCTTTGTGAACATGCCTGTGATTTAATCCATCACTCTCGTACTGGAAACTGAGACTCTAACCACTAGCTTGCAACTCACCCCCACCCCTGTCAAATGTTCCCATCTCCAATGCTTTTGTAGGCTCGAATAAAATATCGGTGCTAGACTAGCAGAGAGAAGATTTCACCACACTATCATGGTTGAAGATTCAATGTTAGAAACAAAATCTATGGGCTTACAAAACATCATTACTAGGACACCGAGGTTAGAGGTGCCTGCTAAAACACACACATTTAGTAATTTTGCGGTATAAGTTCATCATAAAATCAGGGAATAGTGATGTACATTTTGGATTGCCAACATAATAAAGTAGTTCAGTATATTATCTTTCTAAAATTAATGAAACCTTGTTTGGATTGGACAACTCATAAATTGTAAAAAAAGGAAAGTAAAATTTATTCTAGGCAAGATTTGAAAGACATTTACGACATTTACTTATTAAGTAAAACCTCAAATTCTTACAAGTTTTTGTTGCCTATCCTACCTTCTCAGCATCTTTGATCTGTTTCTCATCGTTGCTTTTGATTGCCTTCTCCATTCCTTCGACGGCCTCAGTTACTCTCAGAGACAGATTGTGCAACATCTCCTTCTGGTCTGGATCTGTGGTTTTCTACAAAATAGTTTTAACTATTGTAACTTTGAGTATTACAACCAATTTAAAGTAAGGATGAATATTGAATCATCAACTGTTAATATGACTAGACATTCCCATTTTAAACTCACTAGTTTTTTAATCAAAATATACATTGTAGAATTGAGCCACTCATAGTGTTCTTATAATAATTACAGATTTTTATTGAACAGAATGCGTTAACTTTTTATCCAAGTAAACTTGATAGGACCATATATTGTAAGGTGTTTGCTCATTCATGTCATATAAACTATCTCAATGCAAAAAAAAAAACAAAAACAAAAACTAGAAAATAGAACTTTCTAGTGTAGAGATTAGCACACAAAAGTTATGTGTACTCTTAAATGATATCCAACCTAATTGTTATCTTCAAAGTTGAGAAAAAAGAAGTAAAAATAATTAATATATTGAACATAACATACTAAAACAGACTAAAATTTACTCTATTAATAAAATATTGAAACTTAAACACACATAAAAACTTTGGCCTGAACAATTAATAATAAATACTGGTACATAAATGTACATTTCATGATACAGGCCTACTAAAATGTGGTACTTTGGTCTTATCCAGCGCCCTGCGGCGATTATGTTAGGTTGGGTTATCATAAAAATGTTTGTAGGACTTTCCTTGTTTCATTATGAATCAAACAATACCAGATGAGTCATACTTTTGCTCGCCAAATCCCCTCCAAATAGGCCAAGGTTAGGTCGTTGACCGGAGTGAACACATCACTTGTCACCTGTATCTGGGGTGGCAGCTAGAAGCAGCGACGCATTCAACTCGATTCTCGCCGACATTGCTGCCTTCTGGGAGGCAGAACTCAAAGGCCGCTAATTGTAATCACGTCAAATTTGGCTTCCGGATAATACCAAAGTACCAAAATTCAACTGAATTTCTATGCAGCAAGTGAGATAGCCTACCAGTCTACCACAGAATAAGATCAGCATAATTTACTATAAATAAAGGCCTATGGATATCCTCTCATACAAAAACTATTTAAGAAAGCAATATTTTGTTGACTATTTACCGTAGCTTTTTCTACAACCAGACTCATGGCACTCCTAGTGTCTGACAGAGCTTGTGACATGTCTCGAGGCTCTGCCGCGTACTGTGAATACAAGTGGCGCTGTCGAGCTCTTTTGATGATCTTGTCATCGATATCTGTGATGTTCATTACATAAGTGACATCGTAGCCAAAATAGTCAGAGAGAACTCGACGAAGGATGTCAAATGAAATATATGACCTGCAAAGTAATAAGATTCAGTTATAACATATTATATATTAACTATTTGATATATGACAGGTAAATAAGTAATTTTAGGAAATATCATTTAAAGGAATTAGGTCTAGATGATAATAAATTTATTCTTAGACCACCATTTTGAGGTCACCACACAGAAGAGCAAGTCAGTGGTGACAGGCAATAACAATTTATTATGTAGGAAATAAATTACTCTTATAGGTTTGTTTAAAATTTGTAAATTACGAGGCAAAAATGTGGTTCGGATTCCACTATAAACTGTGGGTCCCTTAGTTGCCATTGGCTGTATTAATAATTAAGTTAACAGCTGTCTAAGGAACATGTCAGCCTTAGTAAGTAACAAGACTACAAGATCGTGCCACTCATCTTACATTCATCTCCATTCATACTAATATCTATGTACCTTCGTATGGTTGCCATTTAAAATAAAAGTATAATATAGCACATGGGTTATAACATTCTAGTGTAGGCCTACAATATGGTAACTTAGTTACCCTTAGAGAAAATCTTAAAATATATAAAGATTTGACAACTAGAAATGTTATGAAATTATTAGGCAACTTATTAAATAGATGTTGAACCTAATTTACCTTGCATGACCCATGTGAGATGCATCATAAACTGTGGGACCACAACTGTACCACATAACTTTACGTCCTTTCTGAGGTACAAACACTTCTTTCTGTCTGGTTAAACTATTGTACAGCTTAAGAACAGGAGGAGGTTCTGTGTCCCCAACGCTCCATGACGGTTGGGACCGTTTAGCCATTTCGTTTCTGAAAAATTTAATTTTGTTACTACTAGCAGGCTTTATAATATTTACTCAGTGTTAGTTTCATTGTTTAAACTATGTGTTTTCTTGACATTTTAGTATGAAAAGTAACTAAATATTAAAGTAATATTCTTCTAACTTGCAATAGGCCTATATGTTTTGCACTTAGATAACATAGGTATCACAATAAGTTATATTGAGATAAGGCATAGGTATTGTGTATTCATTGGTATTACAATCTTATTTTCATACTACTACTTGTCGACTCAACGCATTAGACGGGTAGACTTCCGTATCTGTTGGCACAAACAACTGAATGAAAATATTGATCGATATATCGTTTGATTATTAGGTAAGGTTAACCTAAACTAACTAACAACAACAATCAAATAATCAATATTTTCATTCGGTTGTTTGTGCCAACAGATACGGAAGTCTACCCCATTAGACTACCCACTGAGCGCCTAGTTGTTCAAATATAGTACGAATTGGAATATATGTATAGATGTCTCAAGTTCCAAGCAGTGCTAGGGCTTAAGTTACAAAAATAATTTATAGAAATAAGCATAAGCCACAACATGTGTTGTCCGATTAGTGAACAACTGGTGACAATGAACTGTCGTTAACCAAGCTTTTTATCAGAGGAAATTAAATGTTAATCCTTCTACAAACCTTAATCGCCTAATGAATTATTTAAATTGTGATTCGTCTTCGTGTTCGTAAGTTTGAGGTTACTTTCAGTTTAAGGTTAGATTCAGTAAGAGAGAGGAAGAAAACTGCACATTCGGCATTCGGCTGCAGAGTGCAGACGTTTACAATCTTGCAAAAAATAAACAATTCAGCATACAGTTTACAGAGAAAAAGTTGAGTTGCTAACCCGGATTGGTGGTTGTTTAAAAGCAACATGTGGCAATGTGCCACGATTTGAGATTTTATATTAAGAAATCGTTGAAAGCTCAGATTTATACTGCCCGCATTGATTATTATGTCTCTCTTACTATAACCATCTATAACCAAAGATTACGTAGCATATGTAATCTTTGGTTAAGCTAAGTAATGTTCTTGTATACATTATTTCGGTGAATTATCTATAGATTTATAATACTAGATATTCAACCGTGAAAATAATCCAATAAATAAATTAACAAAACAATACGTGGTACTATTACATTGTTATTGTTTATTGTTGCATAATAAGTGATTTAGCATTTTTGGGTTGCACTTTAGTTTACGTCCTACATTTACTCTTATATATTATCTACTAGCTATAAAATGAAACTGTGTAAGTAAATGTAGGACGTAAACTAAAGTGCAGAGTACAGCCCATTTTTGTAAGGGAAAGGGAGCACATGCACATTGCCGATAGACGGCAGGCTAGAGTTTGAAGTGCTCTCTTCCTTCAATTACTAACGCAATGAATCTCATTACTTTTTAGATACGGTACATGAATACAGTTTACTCACTTATATAATTAGAACAAAAATTAGTGAGTAGTATACATCTTATTTTTACGGTGACGCTTCATGAGCTAAAATATAGCTAACTGTTAATGATGGTTAATGATGGTTAATGGTGGCAGACCTGGTCTGCAATAGATTGGCACGGATTGTGACTCTGCATTTATTTTGTGTTTCATCGTTGTTATTTGGCAGTGACTATATTTATTAGTGTGTCTCAACGCTTTATTAATATTTGGAGGACCAGTGTAGTCTACGAACGATGTCAGACGTCTGTAAGTAACTGATTGTCACACTCAGTAACTAACATCAGCTAAACCAGTTGAAGAAAGACATCTCCATCTTCGCTACATCTTTACGTTCTGCGCAGACGTCGTGCGCCGCTGCCAACTGTCGGGCGTCCGCCGCAGTAAAAGTCCGCTTGTCACTAACCGCTGTTTGACGACCGACTGGCGCTGCCTACCTAGCCGCTGCGAAGGATTTATGTTGCGCCTTCAACTTCTGTGCTGCAACTTCATCACCTGACTGTACTGCAGGCTTGCATTTACTTTTATGAAGGGGTTTGACAATTCGTCACCTGACGAATATACACAGTGACCCTTATACATCATTTTAAGTAGTATATGTGTTGTAAAAATGGTGGTGACACGTGGTATGTCGAGCACTACTGCAAATATAATCGAAGAAACATTCGCCAGTTCAGGTAACATTGACTTGGAAACAGAGATGCTGGTCTCTAATCTCTGCCTGGACTTAAAAAAGTTAGAAGCTAATCACCAAGATATTATTTTGACTGATATACAATTAGGTATATGTAAATTGCTACAGCGTTTGGACGATGCGCTAACTTCAGATAATAACTCTAGATCAGTGATCAAAGACCTCCAATGTGATATATTAACTCTTGAATCCCGGCTTGATCGTGAAAAACAACAACGACAATGCGATCTGAATGCTTCCTTCAATGAACTGGATGTCATCCGCGAAGAAAAAGACAATGCTTTAAAAGAAAAATGTATCATGTCCTCTAGTCTAATTAGTGTTAAGTCTAAGCTAGATAACATTACTGATGAATATGTGCACTTGAAGTCTGTTATTGAACTAAATAATAAAACTATTGATAAGCTTAACTAAGACTTGGAAACTAGCAGACTTCAAAATTTAGAATTGACTGATCTTGCCACAAAACTAAAATCCTCAGTTAAAAAAGCAGAGGAGAATTCCTGGCTTAAAAGTAGATGGGTTGAGGATGCTATTCTTGATGACTATTTTCAGTCCTTTAGTGAGAATAATGCATCTTCCAGAGTGTTGTTTATGGGTCCCTCTGTGACACAAGTAGTAAAACATGGAGCTACTAATGATGTATCAAATCTTCTAGCTGACTTAAAGTTCCATCAAGTAAACTATGCTTTTTTATGTATTAGTAATAACTTAGCTACTCTTCAGGACGACACTGGTACGCACTGGAGTCTATTGTATGTCGATATATCCCGCCAGTTAGTATACCATCTTGACTCTCTCCCAGTTACAAATTCACTTGCTGCAAAACATGTAGCTTCTAAACTGGGATTTAAAGAAAGCTGTTTCCATGAGTTGAGTTGTACTCAGCAAAAAAATCACTACGAATGTGGTCTAAATGTTCTGGTAAATACCAAGTTCATTTACGAGGGTTTTTGCAAAAACCTGACTTTAGGGAAAGAGTTTTCATTTGTTGACTGGTATAAAGGTTTCAACGAGGTATCTTGTAATATTTTAGCTAATGACAATCCCTCGTCATCTGAGTCCCAAGCAAGTGTGTCTAAAGTACTCCCTCTTGTCAAAACTGTAGAACCAACCATTGGAAATATTAGCAATAGTGTTAATGGTGTTAATGAGACTATCTCAGACAGTGTCAATTGTATTGAGACATTAATGAATGTCCCTGAAAAATGGAAAAAGGTAATAAGAAAAAACAGGAAACAAAGTAAATTCAATGTTAAAATGTCTTCTCACAAGCAAACCGTTGTCAACTGTACTAATCGGTTTAAAGTTCTTGAGAGGGAAAATAATAATGTAAATGTATTAAAACCTCTCCACCCCCTCCACAAACCTATCTCAAAATCTAAGAAAAAACAAAAGGTGAGCAAGTCAAAAAAACAAAAAATAATAAATACTTTTGTAGTAGAGCCTAGTACCTCTCTCCCGAGCCCTAGACCTGAGCCTAATAATCCTTCTCATGAGACCTTACCTCACCTGAAAATATATAGTGATAGTCACGGTAGGGGTCTCTCTTGGATCTTAGGGGAGAAGTTAAAAAGTAGGTTTAATGTGTCTGGTACTGTTAACGCTAATGGTAATATGGAACAGGTACTAGCTGGTATCAATAAAGACAGACGTCTAGGTAGTGGAAATGTAATTGTTATTATAGCTGGTACCAACAATTTTGATGTGACTGGACGCTGTAACAGTTTTTTGCCGGAGCTAGATTCTTTCTTAAAAATTGTGTCAAATCCTAGGATTATTCTTGTTGGCCTACCACCTAGACATGACTCTCCTTCCATGAACCCTGTTGTGGACAGAGTAAATAATGACCTCTTATCCCTGTCAAATCGTCACCAACATGTCTCCTTTGTATCATTGCAGTCTCTATCCCGCCACCAGTTCACCAAACATGGGTTACACCTCAACATGAGAGGAAAAGTAGCCCTAGCCGAACTAATAGCTGCTTCCTTAACAACTCCACCTGGAGTACGTTCCCCAATCACCTGCCCCCCTCCTGCTACCCGTACCTTAAAGTCACAGAAAACCCCTTCCGACACAATCCCTACTAATAATCGAGTCAGTTCTTTCCAAGCCCATAGATCATCAACCAAACGTGTTTTTGTCAATAAACATTTTTTAGGAGAAGCCCAAAAACCACCCGAAATCCCCTGGGCAATCTATCTCGGAGGAGGGTGGGGTCCGCGCACACAAGCCTCAAGTTCCTGCATCAAAATATAAGAGGATTGTTAAGCAAAATAAACGAGTTGGAGATATTTGTTGACGATGAATGTCCAGACTTTATCTGTCTAACCGAACACTTTTTAAAAGCAGAAGAAGCTGAAAACTCCGCAATCAACGAATACATGTGCATAACATCTTTCTGCAGATCAGGAATGAAAGGCGGGGGAGCCGGCATATGGGCCAAACCCGGAGTTGACTGCAAACCTCTTGATTGTGATGAGTTCTCAAAAGAGGGTATTTGTGAGCTTGCTTCTGTTTCAATAACTATAGATGATGATGAGACAATTTTGCTGTTGGCTGTATATAGACCCCCTTCAAACATGCATGCAGAGTTTTTCGATATTATAACTGACTGTATCAATAAATATTATAATCGCCACAAATCAATTGTTGTTATGGGTGACATTAACATAAACCTTGCTTGTGACACACTTATTGCTCAACAGCTTACGTCAAACCTGGCCTCATTTGATCTTCATAATATTATAACTACTTACACTAGAGAAGTCAATGGGTCTCGTAGTCTCATAGACCATGTGTATACAAACAAGAGTAACGTCAAGGGCTTTGTCATAGCCTCAGGCCTATCAGATCACAGCGCTCAAACTGCAATTTTGCAATTCAATACCACTCCATTAGCTCCGAAAACCTTTTTAAAGTATGAAAGATTGTTTTCTAATTCTAACATGGACTTATTCTCATATCTTATCTCAAAAGAAAACTGGGATGAAGTTTATGATGCAGCAGATTTGCAATCCAAGTTTGACACATTTTTAAGCAAAATTAAATATTTATTCGAAAAATCATTCCCCATGAAGTACAAAAAAATCAATAAAAATACAACTAGAAAAAAGATAAAGTCACCTGAGGTTACGAAGTTTAAGGAACAGCTGTTTGCCCTATATAACAAAACAAAAAATCTTGATTCGTCCCACTACTTGGTTCACCATTACAAAAAGTTAAAAAATCAGTATAGACGTTTAATAAGACAAATAAAGTCAGAGGACACTTTAAAGAGAATTGAGGGTTCAGACAATAAAGCAAAAACTATATGGAACATAATAAATCATAGACGACCATCTACCAAAACGAATCCCACAGAAATAATTCTCAAAAATGATAGTGGCGAAGTCATCAGAGACCCCAAATGCATTTCCAATCAGCTTAACAACTTCTTTTCAGATACGGGTAAATACTTAAGACATACTTCATCCAATAATACAGATATTAATAAAAGAGCTGTTGGTTCACTCTTTTTACGTCCAACTAGCGAAAAGGAAATTTTAAGTGTCATTAAAAGTCTAAAAAATAAAAAGTCTTCAGGGGCTGATGAAATATCTC